TTTTTTGCAAGATGGGCTTAACCGTTAGAATTAGGATCCCTCCTTAACTTCTCTCCTTAACTTCTTATTTATTGGCCATTGGATCTACTTTTGGGACTAATTTTGATAATTTAAACCGTTCATCTTTTAAGATTTGTTGAGTACACTATACCTGCAAAAAATCAAATTGATCGGATATCAGAAAGTATATGTTCAGTAAACTGTTTATTAAATTTTTTTAAAAAATGGTTTGTAGTTCGATGATCCGAACACATAGTTGCTGATATCCAATCAACTTGATTTTTTACAGATATCATATTCTCAACAAATTTTAAAATGTGAACGGTTTAAATTATCAAAATTGAGCTCAAAAGTGGGCCCAATGGCCCAGCAAGTAGGAAGTTAATAAGGGGATATTCTACCCATTAGGTCAAAATTTAGAAAGCTTCTATTTTTTTTGAAAACATATAGTTAAAGTTCATATAATATCATTTTTTTTTTTTTTTTTTGGTTGCTAAAAAAGACCCTGCCCATTAAGAAAAAATGTCCAAATTTTTTAATATATATGTAAAAACCTCATTTTAAATTATTGCTTCAGATTAAGGCCATAGACACTAACTAATTCACTAACTATTGTCCCTTCATTCTCACTATTTAGGCTATTATGATTATCCAAGTAAGGGTGAATTCAAAATTCAAAGTAAGCCATTGCTTGTAGTCTCATCCCGGTACTTGTATATTCTACACCAAAAAGATCATCAAAATTGTCGCATTTTATTTGAATTTAAAACCATACATATGCAATATATGCAAGACGCTAATGGTTCGTCACATGAAAACACAATTATTGATTTATAAACATATCTTGCACGATGCATTTGAACGAAGAAAGCGTAGAGAAAAGAGCAGTGCTGGAGCAAGCACAAAACAACAATACTTATAGTTCTCTCCCACTGATGTTGCAGAGTTCTAAAAATAAAATTGTTTATAGGTTCTCATAGATCCATACTATTACACATTTTCTTTTTTTGATCAAAACAACATACACAAGAAGACTAAGAACTTACTGTCCCTATGAGAGAGGAATGCATACCGTGGCGCGGCTGTTCTACTCTTAATATCATGGCAACCATCCTGGCATGTAATTATTCACACTTGGCCCTGCTGCTGCCACTGTTATTGGATCATTTTGGTATCTGAAATTCAATGAATCAGTTAATCTAGGGCACAAATCTTTATTCTCACCCTTTGTCTCTATTCTGTGATCTATTCTGTAATTTAATTTTGTGTGACTAAACTTCTCGTATGTTGTTCTTCTACAAATGAAAATAATTGTGTAGTGATAGAGCACCCAACGCAAGTTTAGATCAATGAATAATTTGTGTCATTATAGAGATTTGAACTTGTTTGTGTAATTTCTTTTACTAATATTTGCATGACAAATAACTAAAAATTGCACTTACTGAGAACATTATTCTCATACAAAATAAATAAAATTACCATTATTTTCAATATGCATTGAAAATGAATGAATCTTCAAATTCATTCCAATTCATTGGGCCATTCCTTCTAATCAAATAGCAAGCTACGAAAATTTCATAGAATTATGTTGAACCATTTATATCAATTTATTGAAATCCAAAAGCCCCTTTGTAATTACCCAAAAAAAGCCATTTGAATCATAATTGCAAAAAATTTCATACAATCATGTTGAACCATTTATATCAATTCGTTGAAATAAAAAAGCCCATTTGTAACTACCCAAAAAAAGCCCATTTGAATCATAATTGCAAAATACTAATTTGACACATCATTTCATATGATTTTTCTATATAAATAGTTAGCGTTTTCCCTTGTGTTATCCATTTTACTATGATTTTATGTCTAACTAACATAGCTAATCATGAAAAAGTAAACCAAGCCTAAGAAAGTGGAGTGTAGTGAGTGGTGTCTGCCATGTGCATGCGTGTGATGAGTGTTTGGGAAATAAAAAAGCACAGCTGGGGTATGAGCACATGCATAAAGAATTATATATATATATATATAAAAGATAAAGAGGGTTTGGGCGGTTGGAGCAGACAGCTGCTTGTGAATGATAAAAGAGTGGATGTCAATATTAAAATATAAAAAAAAACTGACCGGGGTTAAAAGTGAGAGAGAGAAAGTGGGTGGTGTGAAGTGTGTTGGGTGTAATGCGCGCTCTCTCTAAACCGAGAGAGAGAGGGGCCGAGAGAGGGAGAGAGCTCTGTTAGAGAGAGAGAGCTGGGTTTGGTCCTGTTCATAGTCGAGTCAACTGAGCCATCCAAACAAACAGTAGATGCATGGGTGTATGTGTGTATCAGTCGTGTGGGCTGTGTGTGAAGCTCAGTGTCGGTATGTCATGTGCATGTGTGTGTGTTGATGTGTGTATGAGTGGGTGTCAAGAGGGCCGGGGGAGAGAGGTGCCGAGAAGAGACATGAATTTTGTGGTTGTTGTTGGTAAGGACTTGAGCCTGCGGAAGCGAGTCTCGAGGTGAGATGGAAGAACAGAGTCGGAAGGGAAACCGGTAGACGGAGCCCGGAGCAGGACGGTGATTGATGATCGGAACAACGTCGAAGGAGACAGTTCCCATGTAGAAGAGCATGCCGGAGATGGAGCGAAGAGGAAGATGCCTTGTCTGCGGAGGAGGACTTTGGAGTCCGGAGCCGATGATTTGGTTCGGGCCGGGCTAGTTGGGTGTGAAGGAGTAACAGTAGCAGGTGGAGGAGGATCCAGGAGGTGGAAGCGAGTGAACCCACGTAACCCGCCTGGTTGAGAGCGAGTTCGGTGACTCGACTCATCGTTGAAATAACAAGGTCGCATCGAAACCCACATGTGAAGAGGTTGTCGCATGGATCGAGAGTGAAGTCCCATGAGTTCAGACACGAACCGGGTCTGACTGAGTTAGGATCGAGTCCGTTCTTGAACTCTCTCAATGCCTCTGTGTCTTGCCAAAAAGTGATGGAATTGGCTTCGAAGAAGGAGTCTTTCGACATGGGTTACTCAGAATAAAGGTGAATTGAGTGGATGAAGAGAAGAACAGTGTGTTAGAGAGAGAAGAGAGAATGGTGTCTATGTGTGGCTGTGTTGGGTTTGTCCGGCGGGCGGCCAAGGCGAGATTACCGCCCGCCGGTGGAACGAAAATATTAGGTTCTTAACCTAGCTCTGATACCATGTAAAATTCAATGTATAAAGAGAGAAATACAGGGAAAATGAATTATGTATTGATTGATATTGAATGTTATATTACAAGGATTTATATAGGAGAGGATTTTGGAGTAGGTGAAGGTGGTAGTGGAGGTGGTAGGTGGAGTGGGTGGTAGTGGAGGTGTTAGGTGGAGTGGGTGGTTTACTATTTACAATTTACATTTTACATTAACAATTGCAATGATTTTACCTGCTCATTAAAAATGTGATTTTAAGACTTTGTGCAATTTTTTTTTTGACTATTATAAAAGAGTTTACCTAACAAATAGGAAAAACTCTACCATAAATGTTATTATATTGAACTTCTAATGCATATATGTTTATTTAGTGAGGATTCACTGACTTGAATGCAAAATATTTGAGAAAGACTCAACTAAAAACTGATGGAGACCTTTCACAGCTTTACTAACGTACAAGAAAAACTCATAACTTTATCTCATATATCAGATGATAAATCGAAATAATGACGATTAATTTCTCTGTTTTTATTTAATTATTTATTTTTTAAATGAAGGACAGTGAATTCAATTATTTGAGCTTATGTATTGACTTTCTAGTATGTTCAAATTGGATTCCCACATCTTGTTATAAAAAATAAAAAATAAAAAAAGAGATTCCCATACATACATGTAGGACTCGTTTGGTCGTCCCAAAAATATGAATTAAGGCATTAAAATTAATTTATTTAGAAATTGTAGAGGGTTCTAAAGGGTAGTGAATATTAATATTTTAGAGTAATGATTCATCCCCCTTTTTCCCCCACCCCCTTTGACCCCCTCTCTCTCTCATTGGTCACCTTTTCTTTTTCTTTTTCTTTTTTTTCCTGCTCCACCAATCACCCCCTGCCACGTGGCAAAGGGGGGTGAGGGGGTGACTCCCAAAAGGGGGTCCCAAGCATTATTCAATATTTTAATAGTCTCGCGAAGTAAAAATTACAAGGTTCTATTTATACGCATATTTTTGCGAGATGGACTTAACCATTAGAATTAGGATCCCTCCTTAACTTCTCTCCTCAACTTCTTATTTATTGGCCATTGGACCCACTTTTGAGACTAATTTTAATAATCTAAACCGTTTATATTTTAAGATTTGTTGAGTACATCATACCTGTAAAAAATCAAATTGATCGGATATCAGAAAGTATATGTTCGGTAAACTATTTATTAAATTTTTTTAAAAAATGGTTTGTAGTTCGATGATTCGAACACGTAGTTTCTGATATCCAATCAACTTGATTTTTTACAGATATCATCTTCTCAACAAATTTTAAAATGTGAACGATTTAAATTATCAAAAGTGGGCCCAATAGCCCAGCAAGTAGGAAGTTAAGAAGGGGATATTCTAACCATTAGGTCAAAATTTAGAAAGCTTCTATTTTTTTTGAAAACATATAGTTAAAGTTCATATAATATCATTTTTTTTTTTTTGGTTGCTAAAAAAGACCCTGCCCATTAAGAAAAAATGTCCAAATTTTTAAATATATATGTAAAAACCTCATTTGAAATTATTGCTTCAGATTAAGGCCATAGACACTAACTAATTCACTAACTATTGTCCCTTCATTCTCACCATTTAGGCTATTATGATTATCCAAGTATGGGTGAATTCAAAATTCAAAGTAAGCCATTGCTTGTAGTCTCATTCCGATACTTGTATATTCTACACCAAAAAGATTATCAAAATTGTCGCATTTTATTTGAATTTGAAACCATACATATGCAATATATGCAAGACGCTAATGGTTCGTCACAAGAAAACACAATTATTGATTTATAAACATATCATGCACGATGCATTTGAACGAAGAAAGCGTAGAGAAAAGAGCAGTGCTGGAGCAAGCACAAAACAACAATACTTATAGTTCTCTCCCACTGATGTTGCAGAGTTCTAAAAATAAAATTGTTTATAGGTTCTCATAGATCCATACTATTACACATTTTCTTTTTTTGATCAAAACAACATACACAAGAAGACTAAGAACTTACTGTCCCTATGAGAGAGGAATGCATACCGTGGCGCGGCTGTTCTACTCTTAATATCATGGCAACCATCCTGGCATGTAATTATTCACACTTGGCCCTGCTGCTGCCACTGTTATTGGATCATTTTGGTATCTGAAATTCAATGAATCAGTTAATCTAGGGCACAAATCTTTATTCTCACCCTTTGTCTCTATTCTGTGATCTATTCTGTAATTTAATTTTGTGTGACTAAACTTCTCGTATGTTGTTCTTCTACAAACGAAAATAATTGTGTAGTAATAGAGCACCCAACGCAAGTTTAGATCAATGAATAATTTGTGTCATTATAGAGATTTGAACTTGTTTGTGTAATTTCTTTTACTAATATTTGCATGACAAATAACTAAAAATTGCACTTACTGAGAACATTATTCTCATACAAAATAAATAAAATTACCATTATTTTCAATATGCATTGAAAATGAATGAATCTTCAAATTCATTCCAATTCATTGGGCCATTCCTTCTAATCAAATAGCAAGCTACGAAAATTTCATAGAATTATGTTGAACCATTTATATCAATTTATTGAAATCCAAAAGCCCCTTTGTAATTACCCAAAAAAAGCCATTTGAATCATAATTGCAAAAAATTTCATACAATCATGTTGAACCATTTATATCAATTCGTTGAAATAAAAAAGCCCATTTGTAACTACCCAAAAAAAGCCCATTTGAATCATAATTGCAAAATACTAATTTGACACATCAGTTAAAATAAATGGATATATATTATTGATTGATATATTGATTTACAAGATTGTTGTGTATATTGATTACAACTCCTATATATAGAAGAGAAGGTAGCAGATTGTGGTGGTGCTGGTAGGGGGTGAAGTGGAGATCAATTCGTTGAAATAAAAAAGCCCATTTGTAACTACCCAAAAAAAGCCCATTTGAATCATAATTGCAAAATACTAATTTGACACATCATTTCATATGATTTTTCTATATAAATAGTTAGCGTTTTCCCTTGTGTTATCCATTTTACTATGATTTTATGTCTAACTAACATAGCTAATCATGAAAAAGTAAACCAAGCCTAATCTTTTTGTTTTAATTAGTTTCTTATACTAACAGCACAATCTAATTTTGCTAGATCATGGGCTATAACAATTAGTCAAAGAATTGAAGACAAAAGATTACCCGATTTGTAATGTGGGTTCACAGTCCAAGGGATGGAAGAAGACATCACCCTGAGGTTGGGCTTGTTGTCGGCTGTAACCCACATCTTGTGCACTTGGATTCCATTGGAGCGATATTACTTGGTTTCCTTCCACCAGCTGCAGACCATCATCCAAAAATTTATACACATGCTTTTATATACAAGAAGCTATCCATTTTCCTTTTTTTTTTTTTTTTTATTAGTAAAAAGAAAATCAAACTTTATTCATTACTCTTCCTAATTAATCAAGCATTACTCTTTCTATGGTTAAGTGTTTCGTCAATTGATTTGGTACAGTGACACGAGATCTTTTGTCCTAAATACATTTTTATATGTCTCAAAACATTTATAACCAAAATTCTTGTATATCGAAATTCTGACAAAAGGGATTGGGGGACAAAGTAGTGTACCCTTTGCTTCAGGCTCTTGTTTGCTTCACTAAGTGCATGTTCCTGCAAATATAAGAAAAGTAACGAATGAAACTTCCTACGAAACTGCATAAAAATGATGTAATTTTCAAAAACATTTCATACCTTTCTTTGAAGATCTGTGAGCTGATCCAGCATGTACTGGGTCTGCATTAGGGAATATATAAACATCACTGCGCTATATATTATCAGCTTACTATATCTCACTTCACTCTGTTTTAAAAAGAAATCACTTGAAGCTTGACAGTATATGTATATCCCCAACTCCATGGAGATATTTCTAATTTCTGGAGTCATATTTTTATTGTTTTAGTTTCAGAAAACATGAAAAATTAAAAAATAAAATAAAAAGACAACCAAGCAGGCTTAGTTCAGATTGCTTCCTGAACCATATTTCAGTGTTCAGAGATCTCCAAACTCAGATGCATCTCAAATTTATAAAGTTTCAAACACTTTTACTGGTGCATGAGCATGCAGAAAAATACACTATTATGTACAATCACATGGTTGCATATCATGTGAATGCACTAGGACAATATTTTGTCTAATGATGCAGTGCTATATTTTCTAAATCTAAATTTACAAAAGGTCAAGTACCCGTGTGGATCTGATCTGCTTCAATGACATATCGAGCTGCCTTTCCAGTGTCTCGAGCTCCTTGCTGTTTAGGGGGCCAAGATCTTCACCCAGGAGATTCCTAATGTAGTAAAAAGAAATTTGGCAGTAGGCTTTTCAGTTACAAATTCTATCAGATAAGCAAATCTAGTGAGTACTTTGCATGTGGTATTGAGCTGAGCAGACCTTTGGGATCGCTGTAGGGCTTCATAACGTGCTTTAGCTTCAAATATTCCCTGCTGACTACTCCAGCTCCTACAAAACATTTAAACAATTTATGTGGGGATTAGATCATGAAAAATACTGAATACCGAATGCAAGTAATTATAATAGAATCAGACTCAACTTGTGAATGCTTCTTGTTGAAAATAGTAATCCATAATTTTCTAGGTTATATTTATGTTGGATGGTACATTTATCAATGACAGAATACATGAAAGTATTTAGTAGATTTCCATTGAAACATGAAATGGTTATCTAGGGGTGTGTGATACATATATATATGATATTCTAAGTAGTCATAAATAAAGGATATGGCAGGGTGATTCATATAACCCATGAAATTTAGAAGTATATTGGCATGTTTGAGTGAGATTGTGTAGAAGATCATATCAAAGGAACTCTGTACAGCTCTTGTAGCCCTACATCATGCATAGACACATCCATTAGTATAGTTTTTATGTAATTCTTCCGCTGCCCCCAACAGTTGTATTATAGTTTTTTTTCCCATGTTCATTGTTGTTTAAACCCATGATTAGTTTGGGATTTCATCAGCTTGTATTTTGTTTCTTAGTTTATTTTCTATTGATTTAATGCTACAATGCTTTCTTCAATTCCTTAGGGCTACAATGGATGAAGCCATATCAAGTATGCGAAATCCATATGACAGTTCATCCTTCAAGCTTCGGGACAGCCACAGAAACTGTCCATGGACCAACACCACTGTTCATGAGCTATGCTATTGGTGTAGGTTATACCGAGGCTCAAGAAATGAGAGGGTGGACAAGTGAACTGCCAGAATTTTGATATGAAAGTGGATTTAGGTCTGAGGTTGAGACAAAATTTCAACCTTGGGTTAGTCAAGGAGGAGAAACAACGGTTTGAGGATCAGAAATTCACAGGATTGGGTCTAAAACCTAATGGGAAGAAATTTTTTTTTTGTTTGTTTTTTCGATCAGGAAAATGAATTTCATTGATTGAAATAGATTGTACATTATCCAACCGAAAGGATGAAAACAATTGGTGTAAATCAATTGTAGACACCACCTCACAAGTCAGTTGGCAGAGTGCTAACCAATACAGAACAAAGAAAAAGAATCAAAACTAAACAACCCCAGCAGCAACAAACACGAAACACAGAGATAACAAAGCCGAAGAAAGAACTTCCGCACTTTCTCCAACAACACAACAGGCAAACCGATCCAAAAATAAAAAAACACAACAGGCCCAACCACATAAGCAACCGCCTATACACTCATCAAAAACCAGCAGATTGGAATACAGAAACTACTGAGAATAAATGCTCCAATTTGACAAACTTTTAGAAACAACACCTAAAGAAACACTGGAGAGCCGCCCTACGCAGCAGAAAACAGAACCTTTACCCAAAAACCCGAAAAACCACAATCAAAGACCTGACATCCACCTTGATGTTAAAGAAGCCATAACATCCATTCACCCGAAAACTAGATGTGACATCCTCTCAAAGTCGCAAAGGTCCACTGGAATAAATCCTTCTGGAGCAAACCAGAGTCAATAAAACAACAGAAAATAGTGAAAGAAGACCATAGAGGCAGCCAACCAATCACAGAGCCTAGATTGGTGAAAAGTGTGAGACTTTTTTGGTGTGGAGATTAATTGAGGAAACATGTTTATTGTGGGAGCTTTTTGTTATTCTAATTGTGTTTGAATTTTAGATTTGTGAGGGGGAAAGAAAGTCGAAAGAGACTGAAATAGAAATAATTTTTTTCTCTTTTCCTTTTTTGTTCTTTTGACATCCTAACACAATTTTAGGCCTCGTTTGGGAACAGACTAATTTAGTAATTTTTTGGTTATTTGACTAAAATATGAGCTAAAAAAAACTAATATGTTTAGGATGACTTTTTTGGCTTTTTACGAAAAGATGTGCAAAAAGTAGGGAGAAAAGAAAATTTTTGACTTTTTGGTATAGATTATTGACTTTTTGACTAATTTAGTAACTTTTTGACTTTTGACTAAAAGGAAGGGTTCTCAAACGAGGCCTTAGTGTTCTAGAATTTGTTTTATCATGGTTGATAATTATGACGAGATTTTGCAGCAATATTTAGATTAAATAAATAAATAAAAAAAATTTGGGCAAAATTGTCAGGAGTAGATTTTTGGAGTGTTTTGTACACATTATACTAGACGTAGGGCTGAGTAAAGAATTTGTGAAATCTGTAATCTGATCTGGTCCAGTCCAATCCGGTAAGTTTGGATTGACTTTTTGAATCTGTGATTCGGTTATGAATTGAAAAATTAAAAATCCGTAGTCTACAAATCGATTTCCAAATTGAACCACACGGTTTCGGATTGGAACCAATTCGAACCGTATACAAATAGCCTATATTAATATTATACACCCTCTTACATGGTATCTTTTTTTATTTCATATAAAACCTAAACCAAAACCTAAACCCGTGTAGTATTTCTTTTATTGCTTTTGTTTGTTGGTTTTTAGTTTTAATTTATAATGGTATAAATACTTATAGCAGAACCAGTTTTCTTATGGTTGTTTAAATTCTGGAACATTATGTCGCTATTATGGAAAGACATGTTACTATTGTGGGACTAATATGATATTATGTTTATGTTTTTATGAAATTAAAATGTTCTATATATATTTTTTTTAATTATGTGAATCCGTTATCTTAAACCGATTCAATTCATGGTTCAGATTGGTTTCACGATTTAAACGGATTAGATTGGTTTTAATTTTTCAAGAATCTTAAATAACGGATTGATAATGATTTTATCTTAATCCGAACCAATCTGAACCATACTCACCCCGTCTTGATGCATTCCACTACTATGTGCTTTAATGAACATTATCCACTCAAAATTACTAGCATCTGATAGGATTAGGCCTTGCTATTTTTACAACACCATTCATTTTAACTATTTAAGGCAAAGGCAATTTTGTAATACTCTATAGAAGATGGTTGATTACGGTTCAATTCACGATTAAGGCTTTAAAGAATCGAAAAAAATCAAACCGAGCCGTTCCATATTTTTGTTAATTAAGTATGGGGTGCTCTAGTTTTTACTTTTATTCATTCTATTTAGAAAGTACTTTTCACAACCTATAGGGGTTGACCGATTGGTCAAGACTTAAGGTTTGAGAGTGTGCGCCCTCTAGACCTTCTAGGTACTAATAATTTATTGGGACCAGTCCATATAGGGCTTTGTCTTGGTTTTAATTGGGACCCTCACAAGTAGATGGTGGGATTGGTCGCACGGATTAGTTAGTCTAATGGGCCAGATACTGAGTTATCAAAAAAAAACAAAAAAACAAAGAAGGCACTTTTCACTCTGTTTTATTTTATTTTCAAAATCTATTTTCTAAATTATTTTTGAAAAAATAGAAGTCTTCAAATTTCATATTGCTATGCAGAGAAAAAATAGAAACCTCCAAAATTTCATATTGCTTCTTTAAATGATAACCTCGAAATTTAAGGTTGCTATCCAAATAATTTCATTAATCAATTGTTATAGGGTTTAGTGTGTGACTAATTTTTGTAGACAAAAACGCATGTTTTGTGTCTAGGGTTAGGTGTATAAGTCGAGTGTATGACTACATGTTCAAGGTTAAAGATTTTCACAGACAATGCAAAGCACATTTTGGTTCGATCTTGGGTACTAGTGCATGACACTGCATTAGTCTAGGGCATGAGCACTTATTATATCACAAAATTGATCTAGAATTGACTATACTTAGTTGTGTGCTCTTCGTAGTTGAAAATAGTTCGAAACAAGCAATGTTCAAACTAATTTATAGAATCATGGCTGAATCTTAACAAGTCAACATGTATGCTAACCAAACCGTAGCATCATTTAAATTGTTAAAATATGTTAGTATTCTATGTTAGTATTGCTAGTGTTATCATTATGTTTAGCACAGCATTATGTTAGCTTTAATAATTATCCTTTGCTTTTTTTTTTTTTTTTAGCTGTGAGGTTGGAATACAGGAATAGTAATAACTAAGATCTATGCAAAAAAAAAATAAAAAAATTAACGTGGGATAAAACAGTTACCAAGGCCTCCCTTGTGGATACATTTGGCTCTGGAGCTCCATAGTTGCACTTTTGGTACCTCTCAAGCGTTTTGAGCATGCTGGATGCGAACATATAAGTTTAGTGAAAGGAAAGATAAAGACAACTACAAAAGAGATACAAATAAAACAAAGTTCTGAGTGATTGTTCCATAGGTTTTACGAGCATAAGATTCTATTAAGCATTACAAGGATAGTAAATTATATATCTTGGGGCTGAGAGGTAGGGTCCAGTATAAGTGCTAATCCATAGAATGCATATGTGCAAACATGCATGCAAGACACACAAATACAGGGATATGCAATAGTAAACTTCCATAATTATTTTTGGAAAATTGAAAGTTATCTTACATTGATTTTGTGTTGTATTTTCCTTTTCTTTTCTTTTCTCTCTTTCAGTTCTTTCAACTCGTTTTGTTCACAGTATCACTATTTACATTTGTTCTATTTTTTGTTTAGCTGCTTTTGTTTTACCTTTTTGGTGTTGTATTTAGTTGGTTTCTTGCTAAACTGCTAGCACCTTTGCTTTCTTAGGATTTGGGTTTTGTTTTAGCAGGATGTTAAGGGTCTCCATTGATTCTTTAGGTTCTCTTCGCTTCTCTTTCTTTCTTTATTATTAATGTGTTTACTTTGAACTCACTTGCATTCCAACAATATAAATATGTATATATATAAATATATATATTTTGGGAAATAAAAAAAGGGCCAGTAGCTAATCCATAAAATGCACGCATGTAAACATGATACATGCATGTAAGACACACAAATACAAGGATATTATTTGGAATTGTTTGGGGTGTCCTAAATAAGTGTACTTTTTATCTTTTTGAATTAAAAAGTTGAGAAAAAAAAGATTGATGTTTGGGTTAATTTTTTATTTTTTTACGAAAAAATATGTAATAAAAAATTGTATAAATAAAATGTATAGTGGAAGAAAGTTGACAAAGCTGTACGGCTGCCCTGCTGTCCCAACATGTCTTAAACAGAAAATAATTACCTCCTTCGGGGCAAAGTTTTTGGACAGTGATGGTCGGTCCATGGGGGCCACCATGGGTCCCATTTTAATAATCTGAACCGTTCAATATGTACAACTCATTGAGTATTATATACCTGTAAAAAATCATGTTGATCGGATATCGATAGCTATATGATCGGATCGGATATCTTTCAACAGTTAACTATCACACAATCCGTTTTATTTATACAAAATTGATTTGATCATATAGTTAACGATATCCGATCAATGTGATTTTTTATAAGTATATATTACTCGACGAGTTTTACATATTGAACGGTTCGAATTATCAAAACAAAACCCTTAGTGGGCCCTCAAGGACCCAACATTGCCATTAAACTTTGTGACTTTACATATGTAATTTTTCTTTTTTGCCCCAAAAAATGTATAATGGCCTAGTCTCTATCACAAGTACGGCTGTCACGTTACTCAGTCGATTTGTATTATAAAAATATATAAAATATTTTTTTAATATTTTTTATTTGTGAATAGTAATGTCTTTTTTGTTTTTTGTGTAACTTTTTGACTTTTTGGATTATTTTGAACTTGCCAAACCAGCCTAATATGAAATAGTAAATTTAGTAATTTACTGGTGGAAAGATTGAATGTTATCTTAAATTGTGTTCGTATTCTGTATACATATTTTTTAATTTTCTTTCTTTGAGTTCTTTCAACTTGTTTCGTTCATTGTATTTCTATTTACATTTGTTCCATTTTTACTCTATTATTTTGAACAAGTATATTTTAATGGCTCAGGAGTATTTGGAGAACGCAATCTTTTTCTTGCACATTTTGGTGAACAATAACATCATATTCCTTTGGAAATGCACTCTTTTTTCGCCATCATTAATATTTATTGACTGAAAAATGAGACAAAAAGCAACAGAAATATATTGAAAATTGCTTCTAAATAATTTACTCAATAACTTTTTGTGAATAGTATAAATATATAGTAAAACAGATATGGTGAGACCTCTAGAATAATAGTAAACTCATTGTGACAAAGCCTTAAATATCTTATTCCTATATTCAAGTAATTAGATCAAAAATTGAAAAGGGAAAATCCCTTAATTAAACATAACAAATTTTATCACATGACAGAATGGAAACTAGGGAAGTGAAATCACAAGCAAAAATATTTGAGTAAATCAACCTCCGAGGTGAAAGAATTTAAATGAGTTTTGGGTGTATGAGCATAGGTTGTATTGGTGTAAGTTATTTGGCTTCTCCTAATTAATGCATAGCCTATTCATATATTTTTTTTTTCTTTTTATTTATTTAAATACAATATTACTTCTTTTGCCAATCAAAAAAAAAAAAAAAAAAGAAGTGAAAAAGAAATAAAAAAGAAGTGAACAAGACATTTGCTTATTACTTGCGCATAGGTATACTCATGAGCATAATTTCCATCATAATGTTTAGTTATAACTGTGAAGTAGTAGGGATCCCAATGAATTTACTAAAATTCATCAAAATAAGGTACAGTCAATTGAAACACATTTTAAAAGGATGGGTTGGCACCACTTCATATATTAAATACAAACATCCTTTAAAACAACAATAAATAACTTTTACTAGTGATTATACATTAATAATATTACTTTAAGAATGTTTGTATTTGTACTTTGAAAAAGTTTTATTAATACAGAAAAACTGCTCTATATGTTGTAATTCATGCAGCAATGTGGACATTGGAGGCTTTATTAATCAAAATATTAGCCACAGAGAGGCATGAAACTAAACCCTTCATGCTTGAGTAATACTTAATAAGTAGCCATTACAAATCATATTTACATAAGTTGACTTCCAAAACAAGTATTCCATGTTTGGTCTTGAGATAGTTAGCATTTTGTTGACCAAAATTTTTCATAGGTCTAATTCCTCCTTTCTAGATATACTAAGTTGAACATTTAGTTTAACTATAAAAAATAGTAATTCTTCTTATATATTAAAACTTTAAACGACTCATCTACCACTTGCATTAGACCACGTCCAATCAATCACCAATATTTTCATTTAATTTGATTTTAAATTTGAGTAAAAAATTTGATTTAATATGAACTATTCCAATCATTTTATCAAATTTTCACCAAAATATTTTAAAAAATTCCCCCCGCTTATCTCAAAATTTTCTTTTCATCAAATTTGGTGAAAAAACAAATCATTTCTAATGTTTCATCTTTTTAAATTTTTGTTAAAGCCAAATTTGATAAATGTTTTGATGAGTAAAGAATGCCCCTCTTATCCCAAACTTTCCTTTTCATCAAATTTGACAAATAAAAAATCATTTCTAATACTTCATCTTTTTAAATATAATAAGTCATAAATTTGATAAAAAAAAATGATTCTCCCTTAATTTAATGAACATTTAACGATGGAATTGAAGATAATTTTTGAATACTTTTTCATCAAATTTAATTTGATGAAAAAAGTGAAAGATTTGAGATATAACTCATGAAATTTTTTGTCGTTAAATATTTCCGTCCCTTATTCAATAGACTTTTAACTATAAAATTATATCGCAAGAATTTTCTTAAAATAATTTTTAAAATTTCTCTAAAAATCGTTAAAATTGTTTTCTAAAAGGCATGTTTCTAAAACAAATTCTCAAAAATAGTTTTCGAACAATTTGCAAAACAATTTTAGTGACTCCAACATACAAACACACATGTATTTATTATGACTACAAAAATGAGTTGAGAAATAAAAGCAAAGAATTAATCGATTCCATTCATGAATTCATATTCTAAGTTTTTTTTTCATCAAAAAGAAAAAAAAAAGGAAAAAAAATCTGAGAACAGACAGAAAAAACTGTAGAATCTACAATTTGTAGAAAAAAAAGAGTAACTAATTAGATGAACAAAAGACATCGTGCAAGTGCAATCTATAATCGCCTTCATTTTGTATATTTAGGGCTTTTTTTTGGGTACAAAAACAACAAATTTCTAATTAGTTGAAAAGCAATGAATCAGATCATTTCAACACCAAATCAGACAAAGAACAATTTCAAACAACCACAAGTTCAAGCCTTTCAAGTATCAAATCACGTTAAAAAAATAAGGCAAAAAAACTTCAAAAAAAAGAAAAGAAAAAAAAGAAGAAGACTAAGATTTATATAACAATGATCTTCTTTTCAAGATTTCCACTTGCTGATCTAACAGCACAAGCACAAAATTCTAAAAACACCGAAACATTCACCAAAAAAAAAAAAAAAAAATTGTTTTTTGAAATTTTCACAAGCTCAGCAACACCTGAAACAGCCAAAAAAAATGAGTTCACCTTGCTCGGTGATTTAGATCTAAAAGCAGAATCGTATTTTAAAAAACGGAACCCTAGAGAGAGAAAATGATCGATATATATATATATAGAGAGAGAGACAGAGAAGTTGATTAAATTTCAATTTTTTGGTGATTCTGAATCGATTTGAGAGAGTTTTGTGGATTACCTAGAACTACTGCAGAATTCGTAGAGCTTTCCCCTATTGGAGAAGATGATGAGAGCGACTTCAGCATCGCAGAGCACAGAAAGTTCGTAAGCTTTCTTCAAAAGGCCATTTCTTCGCTTAGCGAAAGTCACTTGCCTGTTGATCTTGTTCTCTATCCTCTTCAGCTCAACCCTACCTCTCCCCATTGATCAATCACTCTACTCTCTCACTCAAAATTCTCACACTGCCACAAATTTTTCAACACCTCTCTCTCTCTCTCTCTCTCTCTCTCTCTCAGAGAGTAGAATACCCTATTGTTATGAGTCTATGAGTTTATACAATACAACTTTTGTTTCTCTCTCTAAAACTGTCTCTCACTCTAGTTTTGTGTTTTCTCTCTCACTTCTTTCCCTCTCTAAAACTATGAGTAAAGCTAAATCCAAAATTTATATCAGAATTTTGTTTTAAAATATGTATGTGATTCAGATTTAACTCCGAGAGAACTACACGTAAAATTTTAGGAAATAGTGTTGCTTTTGTATTCAACAATATTGTATATCTAAAATTTTTAGGGTAAATGCGTGAAGGTCCTAATAAATAGGCTTATTATTTAATAGCACTTATGAAAAATATTTATCATAAAAAAACGTTATTAATTGTAAGTTTTAGTGATAATTTATAAAAATCATGGCAAAAAAAAGTCACTAATTGTCGATTTTTAGCGACATACATAAAAAATTGTCACAAAAGACTTATTTTTAATAAAACTTTATAAGAATTAAGTCCAACTATTATGACCTATTGATAATTTATCTAAATTTTTAATCATTGTGTTTAGATTTAGTTTATGTTTGCATACATTTTTTGGGTTAAAAATAGTTAATAAGTCAAAATATTATATCCAAACCATATTAATTTCATTTTTTTTTTCATAAAAGTCAAAAAACTCATCCTAAACGAGATTTTTTAGCCCCAAGCAAATAGCTAAAGAGTTAAAAAAAAACTAAAAAGTCAATCTAAAAGAAATTGTGAAAACTTTTGTTTCAATTTGATTGGTTTTTTGTACCTATTTCCTTTTCCACCGTAAATTTCTTATCAAATGCTTGAACCAACCATAATGTCGAGAAAGTGAGGTGTAGGAATTGACTCGCAGTGAATTTGATCCATACAAGTCATTTTGGGAATAATTAACTGAGTCAGTGTTTGATTTTTTTATTTTTTATTTTTTAGTGATTTTTTCTATAAAAATTTCAAAAAGCTCTAGAGTCTTAACATCTATTCGATTAAACAATCTAAAAAAAATAATAAATAAAATAAATATATGAAAAATATTTATTAAAAAAAAGTTTAAAATACTTATTTTTACCTCTTTTTTTTTTTCTACTGAAATCTTTTGGATTATTATTTTTTTTTACTCTTTAAATTCTGTTATACAAGACGGAATAGCAAAACAAGACAAAAAATTGAAAAAAACACTACATACGAAAAAAAAATATTAGGGATCATGAAAAAAATATCATGAAATTTTTTATGAAGATTTTTCATTCTTTGATTAGTGTGTAGTGCTTTCTTGTATGTGTAATCTAACGGTGAAGAATCTTTCATGATTATTTTCATGATACCTAGCATTACTCAAAAAAAAAAAAAAAAACTTTCTTTGTTGAATGCCAAACAAAAGTAACTAAAAAATTTGGGAAATGGTGTTTTTTTTTTCTTCTAATAATATCATATGCCTAGATTTTATCTAAAAAAAATTAATATACAACGCACATTAATTTATAATATAAAACTTGAATTTAAATTACAAGTTCTCATTGAAGATAAAATTCATCATATGCATTTAGAATTTTTTTATTTTATTCGTATTTTTAGGACATTAAAATTGATTTTTTTATTTTATTCGTATTTTTAGGACATTAAAATTGATAAGACACGTGAAACAACGAGTTGTTTTTTTTTGTTTTTTAACACATTAAACAAAGAGTTGTATAAGGTATGCAACAACAGAAATGATACATCCTTTTAATTTGAGAGTTTTAAAAGAGCATTAACAATGTGAAAAAAAAAATCAAGGCCAAAACATCACATTACATAGAACTCACACACTAATTAGAGCTATTAGAGATCTTAATTTAGAGCTTACAATCTTTTTTCATGCAACAATGATACATTCTCTTAAATAAAAGAGCTCTAATGAGCTTTAATGACATGAAAAATAAAAAATAAATAAAAACACACACACACACACAAACATCACTATTATAGTAGGGTTCATCCACGATTAGAGCTCTTAGAACTCCTTTATTAGAGTTCTAAAACATTTTTGTACGGTATGATGGGATTGTGAGTTGTACACAACCTCTAAAAATAGAGCTCTAAACAGAAGAACTCTATACACTAACAATGAAAAAAAAAAAAATCAAAACATCACATCACATCACATGAATCAACCACTCTTAGAGTTCCATTAGAACTCTTATTTTAGAACTCTAAAACATTTTTGGTGAGTTGTATTAAGGTATGATGCAGTGTTTTTGAGTTGTACGATATCCTTCAGTTTTACTAGAAGTTATCTGTTGGTTGTAGGAGAAACTTATTTGGTACTTTCGGGGCGTGTTATAATATTCCTTATAACATTTTTGGTGAGTTGTATATGGTATGATGGGGTCTTCTTTTGTTTAGTAATCACTCAATACAAAATTGTGAGTTTTACTTTCATCAATCACAATATTACTGGGACATCACTTGATAGTATTCAAAGATTAATCAATAACTTCTCGGTCTTAGGAACAATTAGGTTTTGTCCCAAAAAAATTATAATTAGCCAAAGAGGTGAGATTTTCGATTTTGTATTAATTAATTAGGAAATAACAGAAGACATAATACATTAGGATTGATTAAGATTATCATCACGTGACATCTCAGAGTACCAAAATCGTGTTTTAGGTGACAGTTGGCCGTTGTGATGTAAATCGGACGGTGGAGAATTGATGGAGACGAATAACAGAGGAGGACGGCGTCGAATCAGTAAAAAGACGTGAGGGAAACCTTAAAACCAATGGAACATTGAATGCTAAGGTGCTACGTGTCAACAGATTAAGTGATCTTGATTTGATCAATCGAGCTTGACGAGATTGTTAGGGTTACGTTTGGATGGTGGAAATTAATGGAAAAAATTTAGGAAACTCCATTATTTTAATAGTAACAAAAATAGTAGTTGACCGTGTAATACATGTATTTTTTTTCAAAAATATTTAATGGTATAATATGTGTTATAAAAGAATAATTTTAATTATTTATTTTGATAATATTGGTACTATCGTTCTATCAAATTGTTACTTGAATACTTATATATATTAATTTTAGTTGAATTTTTAATAAATTTTGATAATTTTAGTTCCATTGTATTATAAAAGTGTAATTATCATATAACAATTTTGTATGATATATATTAAATTATAAAATAATAAAATAATAATAGTTAATTTAGAAGAAGAATTGGTAACATAAAATTAAAAGTAATTCTACCTATTTAATTTTCTTTTATATTCATATAGAAAATAAAAATATGTAAAAACGGAAATTATATAAAATTTATAAAAAAAAATTAAATATAAATATGTTGTAGTTGGATTATCATATAATAATTTTATATGATATATATATATATTGAATTATAAGATTGTAAAATAAACATTCTTAATTAAATTAAAATATTAACTATATAAAAGAAATTCAACAACAATTAACTAAGAAACAATCACATAATAACATCTAAACCCAAAAAAAAAAATAATAATAAAAACATTCAAACGATAGATACATCTTTGTGTGTGAAGTGATCAATCATTTGTAATATGATGTCAAAAACATAAAAGAACTTACCGTTCAACAATTGAAAAAATAACTCAAGCAATAAATCCAAACTTTAGAGGTTTCTCAAGAGTATCATTGTTGTGCATATTTTTCTTTTTGTGAGTTGTGATTATATAAAATAATATTGGAAATAAAATATAATTTCATATATACAATTACTATAAAATTTAAATGGTAAATCCATAATATAGAATTGGTATTGGGTATAGAATAATGTACGAAAAAAATAAGAAGGAAAAAAGAGGCAATTTAGCATTAAAAAAATTCTAATACCTTTGAAAGAATTAAGGGGGAAAAAAAACATGAAAAGCAAAATTGGTATTGAGTTTGTGAATTATCACAATTTACCATGAAAAATATATGAAAAAGAAATATTTCTGGAATATAGTCCGTATAAAATAGGTAAAGTTAGTATAATTTAAATTAGCTTTGAATTTGTGTAGAACTCTATGTAATTAAAAAAATACATGCTGACATGACTCTCTTAAAAAAACTAAACCCTTATAATATGCCACCATTGAAAAATATTACTTTTAATAATATATATATATATATATATATATGAATGATGATATGATGATTTTGGACAAATTACATAAGTTCCACAATTTAGCTTAATTATATTAAAAAAAATTAAAATTTTAATTCACATAACACTTTAACTCTTTTTCATTATGAAATTCATTAGTTGTATGAAGAAAAAAAATTATTATTTCTTTTATACTGAAATCACTACAATAAAATAAAATTTTAAAGAAAAAAAAATTAAAGACGAAATCAATTTTTAGGGATGAAGTATTGGATAAATTACACAAGTTCCGCAATTTAGCTTAAATCTTAATTCACAAAACATTTAAATTTCTTTTATTACAAATTGCATTAGTTGTATGAATTTAAAAAATGAATTTGTTATCTCTTTCATACTAAAATTAAGATTTTAAATACAACAATTTATAGATGAAAAATTTTAGTTGTCAAAAAAAGTGTCATTATTGTATTTTTAGCTTCAAAATTAGATATTTAGTGATAAATTATTTTTAGCTTCAAAATTAGACATTGCTGTATTTTTTTTTTAGTGATAAATTATTATTCTTTTAAAACTAAAATTTTCATCTCAGAAAGTAAATTTTTTTGCTTGAAATTATTTGTTCTTGAAAGTGCACTTGCTAGTGACATTTTAAAAATTTCATTGCTAAAGATCAAATTTTTTTTTTTTTTCACTTTTTGGGACGGGGTTTTAGTAATGGTTCTCGTGACGACAAGCGTTGATCTTTTAAAATTTTTTTGCAACAAATTTCACTTTTAAGAAAAAAAAAAGTTTTATCACTAAAACTTTTATATGTTATAGTAAATATATTTTATTTGATTTATATTTATATTTATTTACACATTATGTGCATTAGTTTTGATTGTTTTAAACTTAGTAAAAGAGATTGCAGAGAAATTTTGTAAAATTTATGAGATTTATTGTGTTTATTTTACCCAACAATTTAAATCACAGACACCATTAACATTAGAATAGTATTAGCTTGTTTGGTTC